GCCCTCCCGTAAAGGAGAGAAACGGGGACACATGCCCTTGCGAACACGCGCCACCTCCCGTGGAGACGGGGTTGCCGCCATAAAATCCCAAACCTAGACGGTGCATAGCCCACAGACTACGCGAAACCCATTGGCCTCTTCATTCGATAACTGAAGCAACGTTCCGAGTGGTGGTATTTCATTTGTGCTTGCGCTTCCACCTATACTACACCCCACATGCCGCCGCAGAGAGCCAGACTGGAGTCAAACTCAACAGGGTCTCCTTTCTTTCCCCGCTTAGCCCTTCAGGTCCGTTCCCTTGACTGCCGTTTCGCCAGATAGTAACTCGGGACAGAGGGAATCTCATTACTCCATTCATGTGTGAACCCAATTGCACCGCAGGGAAATGGATTAGCGTAAAGGAGCCACACCTTCACTCCAGTTGCTCACACACATGTCGATGGATACCACCACGCCGCCACTCAGTGCACCCCACAGAGGCCGCAGTGGAGTGGTCCAGCAACACAACGGTGTCCTTCCCACTCACAGTCCACACACACACACACACACAATGACAGTCCCACATGCTCACATCAGAGGGGCACTACGGCATTCCACTAAAATGTACACGGAGCCACACACCTACAGAGAGGAACAGAAAAACACAAGTAAAGAACAACAACAGGATACCAACAGCACACAAAGCACTCACAATACAATAATCACAGCTGCCACTCTCACCAGAGAAAAACATTCACACACACCAGCACATCAACTCAACCCCCCAAAAAAACAGACCCATCACGTGAAGCCGAAGCGGAACACTCCCAGTCCATCTCCCCGCAGGTTGCAGTCACTCAAGCAAACCACACACACACACAAGGGCAGAAATATGTCCGTGGCAATGCCGTGAGTGACACCACCGAGGGAGAAGGTGAGAACAAAGAAATGTGTTTTCATTACGTGGGCGGTGTGAGTGGCAACCCAAACACACAAAGGAACACACAACAGAGGGGCACACTCAAGCACCTACAACCCACCAATCTTTATACCAAAATAAAAATGCAGAAAAAAAGAGTGACTGCATGAGGCAGACACAATAATGGAGCAAAGATGTAAACCAAACAAAAGAAACTCATTACTTACTGTGGCTGCCATGCCTGGACACAGTCCAATTCACCCCAAGGTTAACAACGGATAATCATTGTGTACTGAACGTGCCGTGCCCATATCTTTATTCTTGATGTCCGTGCAGCAGTTTGTATATAATGAAAAAAAAGAATCATTCCATAAAAATGAACACACAAGATACACAAGGTGTATAGGAAACGCAAAAGAAAGAAACACACAGATGCACATAATGTGCAATGAAATTATAATGAGAAACACACTCAGACGAGGGAAAAACAATAGAAGGAAAACAAAAAGAAAGCCGTAACCACCATGTGAATATGTTCAGGAGGCAATAACACAATTCCCAGCAGTAGGTGTGTCTTTCGTACAGGGCGAGCAGTGGGAATGATGCACACATGATGACAGTCCACACACACACAGAGAAGGAGGGTTGGTGGTGTGCGTGTTTATGTGTGTATTGAACCTCCTGCCATTCTTCACATTTCAGTCACAGCAATTAATACACATTGGGATTGTATCCCATTCCCATGGGTAAAAGCAATAGTTATTAATATCACGGAACACATATGCACGCATCACTAGGCGGGCACAGTAAATGGGGCAAAACAAGACCCAAATAATAATGCCAACAAACAAAGAGGACACTCCCCTTACAAAATGATGGTTTCGTCATGTGTTGAGCGCCATGGGGAGTCCAATAGATGTGTTCACCAAAACAGTGCAATTAAGTGATTTATCGTTTTGGGAGTGAAAAATAAGAAACATTAAAATTCAACAAAAAAGAACAGTACCCTTACAATGCATCCATGTCCACTCAAACAAAGATTAACTGTACGGCTGTGTCATGGGAACACTGCTTAGCAAACGAGAGTACATCCCATCACACACAACAGAAGCAGCAATAAGGGACTGTGCTTCATTGCAGGACTGTTGCTGCCATCTTTCTTCTTTGCCTTATTCGCTTCTTCCGCTGCCCGTTCGGCCTCCTTCTTTGCTTTTCTTGCCTTTTCTTCTTCAGCGAGTTTCTCCTGTTTTTTCCTTTCCTCAGCCAATTTCACTGCCTCGGCCCTTTCCCTCCTTTCCTTCTCTTCTCTCACCTTTTTCTCCGCCGCCTCCCTCTCAAGTCTCGCCTTCTCTTCTTTCGCCCTTCTTACCCTTTTTTCTTCGGCTCGTCTCTCTTCTTCCTTCCGCCTAATCTCCTCTTGTTTCATTTCCTCAAAATCCCTTTCTTCTTTATTTTTCTTTTGCGTCAAGGCCTTTCTCTCCTTCTCCAATTCCTGATTCATCAAATCCACATAATCCCCCAGCCCCGTCTTTCCGGTATATTCCCTAACCTTCGCACCGGTAACAGTTACCGCCCTGTCACCCGCTTCCTTCTTTTTTGTCCACTTCAATTCTTTGGTCGTCGTCTCATTACTCCCCTTCACAATATCTGCTTCCTTGTCCGGTTCGTCCAGCTTCTCCCTCCATTTCGCTTGCTCTGTTTTTGTTTCGAGTTCCCTTACTTTTTCTGCGTATTGATCAATTCCGACTTCACTCTCCACCGCTTTGAACCACTCCACTGCTCTTTCCACCGCGGCAGCCGCATCGCCCAAACCCTTCGCCACATCAACCGAATAACCAGTACTACGCTTCGTGACCACCTTTAGCCCCTGTATTAGCCATTTTGTCTCATTTTCTCTGCTTCTGGTCCTATTAATGAGGACTCTCCAATCGTGCGAATCGACAGCTTTGTTCAACTTCTCCAGTTCACCCAGACTGACGTTAAGATTCTCCTCCTGTCTATCCGTCATCAGAAACTCCAGGTTATGAAGGATGGTCTTACAACCAGCCAACTCCCTTGCCTCCTCAAGCGTTGCCCGTGCTTTGGTGACAATGTCCCTGCTCTCTTCAACTTTTTTCTGCAACGCCCCCATTTGTTTGACCAGTTCTTCCTTAACATTAATCCCCTCATCGTTTGCCGTCTTATTCTTGTGTATTCCCATCAGGTACTTCGTTCTGTTAGACATATTCACCATTTCGGTGGCAAGTTTCAAGGCATTCTCGGCTTGTTCCTTGTAATCTGCATTGTGTTTCTCACCTACTGTTTTACAGGATTTTGCCCCCGGTAATTCTCTCTCCACATTCGCTATCCACCGGTTCATGAAATTCACATAATCCTTCCCATCCTCTTCGGTCACCTCGGCAGAAACCACGCACACACAACATTGCAGAATTATCAACAGGTACACCACACCACGCAGTTGGACGAACATCGTTGTCATGATTGTCACTGTGAGTTGCTTGGGTCTGTGGTAACAAGGAAGAGGAAAAGGAGGAAAAGAGACGCATATTTAACTCACAAGGTAGACGGAGGGCACCACACACACACAGAAAGACAGAGAGAGTATACATCACAACAGCAATCAAACACAACAACCCAATGAGGGGAACAACAGTAAACCACTCACACAATAAAACACACCCAGAGTTATACAGATATTGAAACAACACCTTGAATTTAGAAGAAGTGGAAAACAAATGGTATCAAAACAATATCAAATAAACGTCTCTACACACACCCCAACATCCTACTCGGTATTCATACAAACAAAGTGTGTCTGTATTCTCATTATAATAAAATCATTACCAGGCAGTTTGAACACCAAAATACACCAACAACACAGTGTACGCCTGGCAACATACAAAAACAATACCACAAAACAATCAGCAAAACAAAGAGACTGTACAATAATCAACACACTTCCAAACAGGAAAAGAAAAGAAACCAACGCATCACCATAATATTTATACCAACACCACAATTGGAATCCAAAACCCACTCACCCACAACCATAAACAAAAATGACTGTATACATCACTGTAATACCATGCCACTCTTTACAAACAGAAGGCAACACACAATTACTCTCTCACACACACATATTACCTCCTTATTTACCCTTATTACTATTATTTTATTTTTTCCCTCAGAATGCCGGTTCTCCTCTTCTTCTCCCACAGCATTATCAACAAAAAAAAAACACACACCCAAACCCACCCATCCCTACTCCACGGTGTGTATTAGGAGGGTACGATCTTACATATCCCCCACCCAAAAAGAACCCCACACCACACCACCACGTTTATTTTTTCTGTTCTTCGTGGCTTTATGGATATTACTCCAACGGAACGGGCCATCAAGAATAATACATAAATATAATTTGTTTTTATATTTTTTTTGTTTACTACCGTTGGGCATGAGGAATACGCATTGTTAATGAAATTACAAAGAATCTCGTAGGTGGCAGAACATGGATTTTTCTCACCTCTCTGAGTCCCCTTAGCGGCAAAATCTAATTTCCACCACTAAAGGGCATAATTGTTACTATCTCTAGGGTCGGTGCCTCTCCTTTTTTTTGGCAGCATTCACACTAAAGTGCAATATATAAAAGAAACTGCTGCTGATGGCACGCTGATTCGCGCCACAGGATCTTCTTGGATATATTTTTGCCACAGTGCGACTCTGCTGTTTCCGGTGCGGTATGACGTGTTTAGCTGATGAAGCCGCAAACTCTCAAGAAAGAGAATTTGCTGGTCCATGGCTTCCCTCAAAATAATAAGGGATAATGGGCATTGGCTCTAATTTTCGATGGCCAAACACCCCAAAGGGAATGCCATTCCTAAGAACGCATGTATTGAAAAGAAAAATAAAAAGAATTTGGTTTTTAAGGAGACCACCCACTTCAAACATTTGGTGAATGAGTTTGGTTTCTTTGAATAAATTCATCTACTCCACCTTGGCACCGTGTTGTGGAGGCACTTATTACCAAGGATCTGCTTCTGTACAATTCCTACATCTAGCAAACCCCATGGAAGATATAAATGAAATGAAAAAAAACTCATAACGTCACTCTTATTGGTTACACAATCATTCAAAAGTCTTGCTTTATGGTTTTGTTTCCTGCCTTTATATAAATATCGAACTCAATGATTCCGCCGTTCTGTGGTAATATCTCTATTTTGTGCAAAAGACACGTGAACCACAGTGGAAGAACACCACCACCAGCACCTATGACTCTTTATATACTCAAAGGGGTTCTTTGCTGGCAGAAGGTTTTTTTTTCTTTATACTCACATTTCTTGCTTCGCAATAAGATAACATGGCGTTTTCTATCGCCACTATTTCTTCAATTCGAAGTTTTTTTGTCCGGGGGAAGCAGCGGTAACAAGAACAAGAACAACCCAGGTACTGACGACTTCCTTTGCATAACAGTAATAATTACAATAAAGAATAACAATAATTTATATATTAACTGCTGTTGACGACCCGTGCCATATGACCAACATCCTTAAAGATGCGAGGAACAAAAAAAAAAGATAAAAAGAAGAAAAAGAAAATTTCTTCTTTCCATACGTTTTCCTGAAATTACCACCAAAAAAATCCGATGGGCAATTCATATTCTATTCTCCTGAGCTTTGAAACGGGGAAATGACCCAACTTTCCTTCACCAACATTGGCTAGATATTCTATTTATCGGTAATTAACGTTTGTTGTTAGACCCTTAGAAAAACCAAAATACATATGGAAAATTCGTTGGGATAAAAAAAAAAACTGACGACGGTCGCTACCCTTCGCGGATTTTCAAAGCTAAAAGCCACGAGGTCCACACCGCAGTATTAATCTTCCGTGCGGTGAAACATAAACATTAGTCTTGTAAGCTTATGAATCGTGTTTCTACCTTCCACCCTTGGCCATCAGCAGTGTAATGAGTAAGGTGTTTTCGCTCCGTTTCCTTTACTTCTGGTAGTTTGCCGTTCCGAGACCGATGCGGGTCGGTTTACGCCAACAAAAGGGCATCCTGGAATCATGGAAAGGGTTATATTTTTGTGGTACACCTTCTTAAGTGTTACTTTAAAGCCAGGTTCAAAAATCTTTACTTTTTTTCTTTTTAGAGCCATTATCCATTTAGTGGCTGGAATTGTGTCGCCTTTGGTGAATATTTATTACCTTTGCGCTTTACCTCTTTTCCCCCGGCGTTCGGCGCAAAGGAGATATTACCACTATATATGTGCACGTGTATTTTTTTGAAATAATCGCGCTTACGCATCGTAATGGGAAATATTTGACAACATAACTGTAAAAATAAACATGATTTCGCCCCCAAAAGGGCACCATCCATGAAGTGGGATTACCCTCGTTCGCTAGGGACCGAATCGCTTCGGAAAAAGCATTCCCATTTTTCTACCAAA